TATATATATATATATATATATATATATATATATTATATATAAAATATAATAAATTCATATATGTATATATATATATATATATATTTGCTTAATAATTGTGATACTAAGATTAATGAAACCCCATTAACAGTGCTAAGAGCTGTACGATGTTTAACATCAACATTAACAGTCAAAATTAACAGAACTAAAAATATTTCCAGGCCTTGTATTTATTATATTTTATTATAATGTCTGTCTAAAAATGGAGCACATACTATCACAACATTGTTAAGCAACCGAAACTCTAAACAAAAGTAAACAAAATGTTGATCTAGTACACTAGGTTTTTAGTTGAATTACTTTGCAGTACTTCAAGGCATTTTACCAACTCATTCATTCCCCCAAAACATACAAGCAACATTGCTTACGATTAATCAATACAAATTTTTTTTATTATTTTTTTTTATTTTTTTATTAATCTTGACAAATTATTATGTGGTCTAAGGCACAGTGAGTATCGCCTGCAGGGGCAGTAAATTAGATCACTTATGAATTCCTTCATAGAATACATAATAGACTCGCACCCGCTTCGCCGGAGATCATCGAGATTTACAGAAATAAGGGTTTTGAGGATACTTCGTATGTATTGACCCACATTGTATTGCTTGGATATAATCTAATATAAGTACACAGCTTGGACACGGTACGTGCGGCTCGATCTGTGACAGTAACGTCAGCTGGCGAACTAACGGTAAAGGACATTGGCATCCCAAGGGGCCGAGTCGTAAGAGCTGAGCTTCTTCTACCTGATCTGCAGGAGCGATGCGACGGCTCAAACAACAACCATTTGTTCCAGTTATCGAAAATATTGGCCGACAATGAATGCTATCAGGGAAAACAAATGGAGGACTCGAGCCGCATGGAGGGCAATATGGCAAGAAGTCAAAACGTAAACCCATGGAATAGAACTGTACACGTACCTAAAAAGTATTTCAGGGCTAACGAGCCAGCTGCTGAACCACATATTGAAACGGCGTCAGTGAAGGCTTTCGAATTGTCCTCTGACATGTCATCGATTCTACAGAAAAAGTCTCAGAAGAGCAGTAAATTGATTAATAGTGATGAATCAGATGCTTCCGATTTTGAGGTTGTCGAAAAACGTCGCAGACCATCAGTCAGTCGCCCTATAGTAGAGGTGAGCACCGCTCTGTAAGGGGTACTGTTAAGAGTTTACAGTATGTTAATCGCATAGACAGTAGACAGATCCTCTACGAGGATCGTATTAATTTTTTGTTAACTTTCAGAAAAGAAATAAGCATACACAAGTGAAAATGGTAGACAAACCACCCGTGACCCCTCCACCGCAACCGAAGGACGAAAGACGGTACCGCCGTGCCATAAAAACATGCCATGAAGTTATTACTGTAATGAACTTTAAGGGTAAGAATCATTTAAGAAATATATGAATTTAGATCTGTATCCTCCCCCTTTTGATGTTATAGAAAACTGGCCAGTCTATATAGTGATCATGTGTCTTTGCACCATAACCTATCTCATATATAAGGTGCATATTGATCTTATGAATTATGGCAACAGTGAACGATTGTATGCGAAAAAGATGAGCACTACCAGTGTGTTAATGAAAATTCTCAAATATCTCGTGCGTGTGCCACACAAATCCGAATGATCCCAGGCTCTGATCTAATATCAAACTTAGTTCTTTTCGATTTAACAGACCAATAAAATTTTAGTTAAGCTTTACGGCGAGATTCAATGTAAGTTATTTATAAATGGATAAATGCGTATGCTCCATGTTTTTAGCATAAGTGTGCAAATCAAAATGCACTCGAACGCGCTCGCACGCGGACCTCCAGCCCAACATGGACAATGGCCCGAACCGCCCTATCGCTGGACTACCGCCTGACCAAATGAAAAACAAACAATTCGCTTTTGTTGTTATTCCAAATAACACTAAAAACCTGCACTAGGAACAACACGGCCAACACTAACGATAACAAAAACAACGTTAATAAAAACTAAACCGAAAATAAAGCGAAATTGTAAAGTGTTAGAAATAATAAATTATTTCTGTTATTCTAAATGGTATTAGAGAGCCGGTCCATGCATAAATTTAAACCGCACGAGTGTTAGAAAAATATTGTGGCTATCGCAATTTTGACCACCAAATTGAAATTCGAATGCCAATGCAAACAGTTGTCAAAGGGCAAACAAAATTCCAAATATCCACTTCTATATACATACATATGTACATATACATATATGTATATGCACACAGCATTAGATCTTTGTCAAAGGGCTCTCATTATAAATATGCATATAGAAAATGAATTTATACATATGTATATAAAATTTTGGTTGCGAACCAAACCCATTTAGTGTTCCATTTCCATAAATTATTTATTTAAAATTTCTCTATATATATGCCTTATATTACTGAATACGGTAGGATATATACGAAGCATGGCACCCAGCTGAAGATTTGTATAACGAGAGGAACTTAAAGAATTTCACCTATTAGATATATATACTTAAAACTTACCTGACAATTCCAATATTTGAAAACCTCTCTATTTAGATAATTAAAATTGGTTCTGCGTTCAGCATAGCTCCAAGTTTGCCTGAGTTTGAGTTCGTATACTCCATTAGTTTTTGGCTCATCGTGATTTGGTATTAAAATTTGATTTATTTGTATGAATTAAATTTTTGGCTTTCAGTTAATTAACAGCATTCTTTGATGTACCAAAGTGGCAAACAAATTATGCAAAATACAAGCCCCGCCGCCCGCCCTTATCCGCAGCTCGTTGGGCCAGGAGCTTAGCGACAAATAGATGTAGCTTAGCTAGCAGCAAGCTAATCCTTTAGCCTCGAGCCTTGTGTGTGTGTGTGTGTGTGTGTGTGTGTGTATGGCACAATTTATATAATTTGAACCTATTTGAGGTGATGGCCTGATGGGGTGCCATAAATCAAGGTTACTTTCACATTGGCCATAAATACTGGCAGGCCAGCGATAGGCAAGAGCCGAAGAGCAGCAGAGCCCCAAAACCAAACCCGCTCGAGCCCCTCGAGACGCGCCAAACGAGGGCCAACATCGAACTTGTTCGTGCAGTTTTTGGCTTTAGCCTTAACTTTAGCTTCAGCTTCAGCTCCAGCTCCAGCTTTGACTCTGACTAGGGCGTGCGTGTCTAAGTGTGTGTGTGTGTGTGTGTGTGTATATGTATTGTTATCACAACAACAGCATCTAAATTATCATGGCCAAAAGGCAAACGCAGCTACAGCTACAGCAGCAACAGCAACAGCTTACAACGTAAACACAACACGACGAACAATGCGACGCGCAGACGCCAAACACGAAACATTTTTTACTAATAAATCGCCGCCAGGGAATTTCCCATTGCTCTGTTCCTCTTCGTAATACATATTTCACATGAAATGCAGCCGATGGCTAGATGAAGACTATATATAAAAAAAATATATATGTACATACATTCATATACGAGAAAAAGAGAGGATATGAGAGAATCTCACCCAGAGCAATTGAAACGTTGCAAAAGTTGATCCGAATGAAAACTCTTTGTTTCTAATTTCCTCAGCTACTACTTTTTATGATGCACTTAGCTTGAATGCATATATTTAAATAAAACTTACAAAGCTTTTTTTGTGGTCAGGGTTTTTTTTATTATAAGAGCAGGATTTTTGCCTTCATTAATCCACACTATAATTTCGAGTGCAATGCGCAAATTTAAGAGAATATACACTTAAAAGGCATTGGCTTGTATGTGTGCATTCCGATAACTAATTTCTGCATACACACGCATTGTATAAGAGAGATCATTTGGGCAGCTGCGCTCACACTAAATGCTCTCATAATATCCCTCCTACTTGCGTTCGCCATTTAAAATATTCGCTCACTATCTGCAATGCTAACGGGATCAAAAGCATTGCTGCCATTGAGTGAGTATTTAAATACCCAAGCTCTCTCACACATACCAGCAACCGCATAGCAGCGACTGCCTGCAGCTCAAATATACATACATCTGTATTAAAAGCTTTATTTCAACTTACTGTGCTCTCTCTCTCTCGCTCTTTCTCGCATTTCGTAAGACAGCAGCACATTGAGCAATGGCATTGGCAAACAACAAATATTAATTATTAGCACAATTTTATTACCGCACTTTTCTATAACTTTTAAAGTTTTGCCTTTGTCATTTTCTTGTTGTTAAATAATTCTCGAGCTTCATTTCGGAGCACTTTTCCATTGAAGTTAATTGGAAGTTTATCCACGAAACAAACGCCTGCGTTCAGCTGTTTGTATTGCACTGAAATTCGCTTAGCGACATGGTCTATGACCTGTTTTTCACTTAGAAGACTCTGTGGCTTTCGAACAATTAGAGCTCCAGCAGCATCGCCATATAAAGGATCCTTGATACCAACCACGCAGACCTCTTGCACGTCTGGCAGCTCGATGATGATCTTTTCGATCTCGTTGGGCGTGTAATGCATTGATTGGTATTTGAGTAAATCCTTTTTGCGATCCACCATATAGAGGCGATTTTCCTTATCGAAATAGCCCATGTCGCCCATGTGGAACCAGCCCTGGGAATCGAGTGTTTCAGCTGTTTGCTCAGGATTGCCATAATACCCATTCCACTTTTGATTCGTCTTGATCAATATTTCGCCAACTTCATTATGTGCCAGTGGAACTCCTGCGTCGTCAACGATCTGTGCATGCACGCCAGGCAGCAGAGTCCCCACCAAGTTCTCCGTTTCTGGATTTAGGCAAACCGATATTCCGTCCGTTTCCGTCGTCCCATACACATACACAAAAATTGTTGATTCGAGGATGCGCCGAGCGACCTGCACCACACCAGCTGACACCCAGCCCCCGGCGTACTGGATGAACTGCAGATTGGAGAGATTCTCTGCAGTGGCCAGGGGACTGCTGAAGAGCGCATTGAACTGCCAGTGGGAGACATACAGGTAGGTCACCTGCCATCTCTTTACGATCTCCAGAAGCAACTCCACGCTGAAGGGCTGGCTATAAATCACGCGATCCGCTTCGTTCACTGTACTGCTCAGTAGACTCTTTATAGCGGATAGCCAATCGTAACTGGCTGTCGTGTATACAACATCATTTAAGCCACTCACCCTGGAAGAGAAGTAGCCTACATAGGTATATAGGTATAGTACATATAGTAGAATGTACTCACGGCGATATTAACAGTAGCTGGGAGTTGGTTATGGTCACAGCCTTGGGCAGGCCGGAAGTGCCAGAGGAACAGACTATAGCCATGGTTTGATCGGCACCGTGCACCAACTTGGTGGGTCTATGAAATAAATAAGAATACTTTTGTATTATATTAAAAAGCTCTATTTCACTCTGCAACTCACTCATAATTATTTTCATTAAATGTCTTATCCAATATCTCTTCTATCCCAGTCACATTCTCTATATGCTCGCTGAGTGTTATCAACTTAGGCGTCCAGTCTTTGGAGATCAATTTCAAAAATTCGTAATCTCTGCCATCACAAAATATAATCTTTGGCTTTGTTATCGCATAGAGCGACACTATTGCTTCCCTCTCCAACATGGGATTAACGGCATGAAAGGGCGTGGCATTGAATAGGCATGCAAATAGAGCGTGAGCAACATGTGTGCTATTCCGAGCTATAAGTCCAACTACATCCCGATGCGTTAGTCCCTCAGATTTCAGGTAATGCGCTATGCTAACAGCCGCTGTCAAAGCATCCGCATTGGTGAGTATTTTGCCATCATCATGGATGATCTGTAGAAGAAGGCTCGAAAAACTGATTTCATATTTCACAAAATATGAAATCATATAACTCTTTTCATATAACTCTACCTGGAACTTATTGTTTGGCTTCTCTTTAAGCACTTCATATATGACTTCGCCTATAGATGTTTGTGGATCGGTGAATAATGTGTTTTCGGGTCCGCTCCAAATTTTTTGCTCTTCATCGTAGAGCGTTTCCATCAACGACATTTTAATCACCTTTGATTGTCAAAGTTTGCGAAGTAACTAAATGCAAAGCGCTCAAAGATCAGTTCTATACATGTGTATATATGTACATATGTCGAAGTTAAGTAATCTATAAGATTAAGGTTTTGCCATAGATAAGATTATTATTGGGTTTTAAACAGACTATATGTTCATATATACACATATGGTCAAATTAATAGGTGTGAAATATTTTTTGTGAAAAAATGGTGATAACGTCTATATTTTTTCAAATATTTTAAAAACTCAACTGGCATTCAAAAATAGACATATCTTAGAATAATAAAAGCAAAAAAAAGTTAAAAAAAATAATAACGGTTGATATAATTTTGGCAAATATCACAAAATACTCAAAATTTAGCTGGCCACATTAATAGG